AGAGCCAGTACATAAGGCAATTCTTAGAGGTTTGTACAACTTCAGTTAACTCATCAACTTCTCTATCTGATGCATTTATCCTGGAACATCTGGATAAGCTGTGATAGAGTTAAATAAGGGTAAGCTTCAGAAGAAGGGACAGGTCTGAACATCTAAGTGATGGGGAGTAGGCACAGCGGTTAAGTGAAAGGTCAGCTAGGACCAAGAAGCCTGGGTTCAATTCTGCTACCTACTGAGTGTTCTTTGACTAAATATTTACCCTCTGTGCCTCCCATTTTTTTTCATTTAGATAGAGAATGGTGTTAACAATGCCCGCAATGGGGCATTAGAGAATCAAATAAGTCAATAAATACCAGGCATTCAAAACCGTGCCTGACACAAAGTGAGCCCTAAATAAGCATTGGCTTCTGTCATTATCAGGAGAGGATGGCATGAAATTTGACCCTGAAAGGGACTGCTCCAGTTTTACCACTGCTGTCTCCTTTCCTAGTTTACTGATGAAGGATACAGGGTCCATTAAGGATGTGCAGTTTACTTTAGACTGTAGGCTAGTGGACGGCAGAGCTAGGGTTTCCTATCCAGGGGTTCCGCCTCCACAGAACTTACTGATGAGGAGGGAAGGAAGGGTTGTGGGAGACCCAAGAGAAACCGAGAGCGAGCTTCAGCCTCTCTCCCTTCTAGGGATAACGGGATCAAGGCCCTCTGGGACTACCCCCCCAAATTAATTCCTGGTCCCCACTTTTGAGTGGGCTTGATGTCTCAAGAACGCCTGGTTCCGACACACACCCACACCCCCGCGCCTGGGCGTACCCTCCAAGTCTGGCACAGCGCGGCAACTCTGCCCCGTTGGGAGGACGAGTCAACAGCGGGGTGGACGGGAAAAGTGACACAATCGGGCCGGCGCCCTCCGCGCCAGCCTCCCACGCAGCGCAGGGCGGGCCGAGCCCTCTCAAGGGGTGCGGGTCCGAGTCCGGCGGCCGCGGTCTCCGGGGCACGCACGCACCCGCACGCCCGGCACGCCCGCCGCCCCGCGGCGCGAGGGCCGGACGCGGGCACTTTTCATCAACGCGGCGGCCGCGCGGCCGCCGGGCCCAGCTCCTAAGACCGCCGCCGTCGCCTCCGCCCCCCCAGAGCTGGATGACGGAGTCTTGAAAGACTTTCACCAAATATGGGCTGGGGCTGGAAACGTCCTGCGGCGCGCGCCGCCGGAAACCTCTAGTCCTGGCAACCGCGGTGACTCCGGGTGCGCGGGCCGGGCAGCCGGCAGGGGGCAGCGGGCGGCAGGCGACCGGGCGCTTACCGGTGCTCGGCCCAGGATCTCTCCCGTCCCCATAACCACTCTTGCCGCGCCGCCCCTGCCCGCTGTCTCCGCAGAGGCGCGGGGGACAGCCGAGGCCTTCCCAGCACCAGTGCCGCTCAGTTCCTGCCCCCACCCCTGCTCTCCGACTCTCCCTGCGATCTCTCGGGGTCGGGTGGGCGGTGGGGAGAAATCGAATAGCCGTAAAGCCGGCCTTTCGCTGTCACCGTGAGTTGTTCTGTTCCTTCAGGTGGCTATAAAAAGTGGAGTTGTGAGACCACCGAGTACCTAACTGTGAGGACAGACGCAAGCACACACACAGCTCTTACAGGCACTTTTGTCGTCCAAGGCGGTGGTTCTCAGGGTGTGATTCCCCGAACCAGCGGGGTCACATCACCTCGAGACTTCTTTGAAACTAATTAGAATTAGAAACTAAGAAACTTCTTAGAACTAATAACAAATTCTGGGGTGGGGCCAGTTGGATCGGTCGTTTAACCAGCCCTCCAGGTGAGTCTGATGCAGGCCAAAGTTGGAGAACCACTGGTCTAGGGCTAGGAAACCGGAGTCACCAGATTTAGGGTGATTATTATTCTCAGTTGCCGCCAGACAGTGAACCCTTCTTTTGGTGACCTAAAATTCCCTGGCATCCGCGGGCGAGAGACGTTCCCATCGCTCAGTCCAAAGCCAGGAGCCGAGAAGACAAGCAGCCCCTTCTCCGCGCCCTGCAGCCCAAGGAAACAAGGCGGCCCGTTATTCACTCTTGGGGCTCCCGGAGAGGGAGGGTGGGGGAGGAAAGAGAGCAAAAGAGCCGTGCAGAAGGAGGAGCGGAGGACACTTACCCATAAACGTTTGCACGTTTACCCTTCCGTCTGTCAGCGTGAGCTGCTCTGCAGGTCTCAGCAGAGGAGGTGAGAAGGCAACGGGACGTTTGGGGTTTCTGGACCTTCCTGGAACAGGACTTGAGGAGCTGCTCTTCCTCTTGTCTGATGCTGTCGTTTACTAGCAGTCACACCAGGACATGGTGTAGGGAAAGGCTGTGCACATAGGTTACTCCTGTCTCTCCGGCTCCCCAGTCCTGGCCCTGCATGCTCCGGCTTCCCACCCACTCCCACAACACACCCCCTGCTCTAAATGGGCAGCTGACGGTGAGGTTCTGTAAGCTCCTCTGAGGCAAACTCATCCTCCAAGATTCCCCAGATGAAGTCCAGAAACAAACCCACACACTCTTGTTAGAAAACTTTAATCTGATTTTTAATGGAATCTCTGGAATGGTGTGTTTGGGAATGCTGTGCTGCACACTGCATCTTTCTGCGCTCCCCCTTGCCCCCACCCCCTATACAACTTCCATAAAGGAACAAGGTGTATACATGAGCCAGTTGGATCATCTGTCCTAATTTCATTTTTAAATTATGATAGACAGATTGCATGAAAAACAAGGAATTCCAAAGAATTTCCTGCTCTGGGAACAGAAGTTAAGTCTATATTTAACAACATTTGAAGCTGTCAAGAATGCTTTGTGGTTGGATAACAGAGGCAGAAAAATGTTAAAAACGCAGGCTACTGCTATACCCAAATATGGAAATATTGTTACGTCTGGTGTCTGATTCACCATCTGGAAATACTTACAACCATGAAGTCAAATAGAAAGGACGCCGCAACAGAAGCCAGGAACGCTCCTCTCCATTCTCTCTCCACCGCCTCCTCCCACCCTGTGCTGCATCTACTCCTAGTCACTTCATTATGGAGGAAACAATACTGAAACTCTACTACAGGAAAAAACAAAAACGTTTTCTAAGTAATAACTGGTGAGTTGACTTGGATAGGGCCCAGAAAACCTGACAGTTTATTGTCTTGAAAAGTAAGACCCCCTCCCAACTAAACCTTAAAGATCCCATTCCCTCTAGTAAAAGCCTCTTAGACTTCTGGAAGAACACTTTTGAATGAATGAAACTTAACTCTTTCCTGCCACAGTTCTCTGCATTGGAGAATGTTTTCATTGCAATAGGTCTTTAGTGTTTATCAGTCATTCACAGAAAGTTACACTGAAGGCCTTCTTAAGCCAGATGGCTCATTCATTTAGACTGAACAGCCCTAAACATTACAAAGGACAAAAATTTCTCCTACAGCACATATACATGAGAAACTGGCGTAATTACTGTGTATGTTTTTATGAAAATTACACAAGAAGTGTAGTTTTGAAACTTTGATGGAACATTTGTCAAGCACACTAATGGTTTTTGAAGTTCAAATAATTTGCTTTGTAAGGGGTCTTCTACTGAATGTGTTGCTTGTAGCAAAAGACCTTAAAATTGCCAACTTTTTTTTTTACTACAAAATATTACATCCTAAGACTCTAATTTCTCTGTACTTAGAGGGCAACGCATTGCAATTCACTTGAAATGGGAGGCTTCTAAGTGGTCCCAGGAAAGGAGTTAAAACCGCCTGCAAAACTTTCCGTGTCAAGGAGTCTGTTTTCTCCAGAGATCCACTGGTCACAATGGTGCTGGAATCTGGTTTGATTTTGCTGTATATGCAGGTAATGATCTCAATACAAATCACTTCACGGTAGTCCTCTACGCTTCTGGCTGTCTGCTTAGTTAGCGTCGCCTCCCGCCTGCGGAGGGAGACTGGAAGGGCTTACCCGGTCTCCTGCATCCGTGAGGAAGTGTAAGACAGCCTGCCGGAGAACTCCCTACGTTCGTTTCCTCTCCGACTTCCAACCCAGGCAGTGGGTTGGAACTTAAGTGGGAACCTCCAAAAACAAACAAGTACGACGTACCAAAAAGGGGGGGGGGGGGCGGAAGAGGGAAGACCTCTGTCTGGGAATCTGCCAGACAATGGGGGAAGTAGAGTTTTTCCCCCCTTCTCATTCATAAATGCCACTGCGGGTATTAATTTGCAATATATTTAACTTGGCTAATAAACACCATGCCAAAGCTTTGGGACTTGATCAGAACACGCCTCTATGAAATCCTCAAATAGAGTCCTGGCTCCCAGACACTCCCCCTCCTCGTTCGCCTTTCTCAATAGATAACTTGATTCTCACCTTCGCTGTAAACAGGCAAACGGCTCGCTGCCTTCCCGGGTGAGGGCTTCCAAGGCTGCGGGGTCAACTTGGCATCACCAAACAAAACGACTTTTGTCCCTCCCTCCAGGTCCTCCCACCATCCCAGTCCAGGCAAAGTTCTGAACTCGCCCCCCTCAGCCCTTCCACCACCATCACCATCATCACGCCAAGAGCCCTCCCCAACAGAAATCGTTATTTAAAGTGGAAAAAACGGAAGATTGTTTTCTTGACGGGTCCAGGACAAAAAAAAAAAAAAAAAAAAAGTGCAACGGAGCCAGGGGAGGCGCTTGGCAGGAGCCCGCGCCAACCAGCATTCCTGAGATGTTTGAGAATTCTGGAACGCACAGACAGAGCCGACGTCACTGCAACACGCGGCGCCGCGACCGGCCCGTATAAAAGGCGGGCTCTGGGCGCTGGGGCAGACCGCGAGAGAGAGCGCCCCCGAGCAGCACCCGCGCCCTCTGCTACTCCTCGGCCAGGACCTCGGGAGAAGGACGCCCCCAAACCGCTCGCCAGCCCGGCCCTCGCCTCCCCGCCGCCCGGCCCACTACCCCAGCCGCGCCGGCTCGCCCGCTGCGCTTTGGTGTGTTGGCGTCTTTGCCTCCGCGCTCGCCCGGACCACTCCAGCGCGCCACGATGAGCTCCCGCACCGCCAGGACGCTCGCCCTCGCCGTCACCCTTCTCCACTTGGCCAGGCTGGTGAGTTCTTAGGCCACCGCTTCCCTGTCCGCTCTCACAGCCCCTTCCCCTTTCCCCGGAAGACCCGCGGTCGGAAAAGCTAGACTCCAAAGTTCGGGGGGCGTTTCGGGATAGCTCTTTCTTTAAGCCCGCCCTGAAGACCTGCCGGGGGCCTCCTGGCATTCGCCGCTGCCCGGGACGGCCGGGCTGGACGGGATCAGAACCCCCCCCCCTCCCCGGCCGCCCGGGTCAGACACCCGCGTCCCTTCCCTGGGGCGCCTGTCCTGCTTACCCCCGCGGAGCCTCACGCGTTTCCTCACCCCTTTCCAGGCTCTCTCCACCTGCCCCGCCGCCTGCCACTGCCCCCTGGAGGCTCCCAAGTGCGCCCCCGGAGTCGGGCTGGTCCGGGACGCCTGCGGCTGCTGTAAGGTCTGCGCCAAGCAGCTCAACGAGGACTGCAGCAAAACGCAGCCCTGCGACCACACCAAGGGGCTGGAATGCAACTTCGGCGCCAGCTCCACCGCTCAGAAGGGGATCTGCAGAGGTAAGAGGCTTGCGGTTTGGCCCCTTTTAAAAAAAAGAATAGTCCCCGAAGTCCAGAAGTTTAGTAATTTCGAGACCATGTATGGTGATGCTTTGTTGTTGGTAGCTTGGCAGAAAGGCTCATGATTTCAGCAGTCTGGAATGCAATTCAATGTGTCTGGGCCCAACGAAAAGCGCACACGGAAAAGTGATTCCTGACTAACTTATTGTTCTGGTCTGGAGTCTCCGGGGAATTGTAGGAAGCTTTACCATAAATTGAATTAAGCAGCAGAAAATATGTATGCGTTTCAGGCCGTAGTTCAGAATCTTACCTTTATCCACCCCTTCCTTTCTTTTTCGGTGCTCTTTGCAGCTCAGTCGGAGGGCAGACCCTGTGAATATAACTCCAGAATCTACCAGAATGGGGAAAGTTTCCAGCCCAACTGTAAACATCAGTGCACATGTATCGATGGCGCCGTGGGCTGCATTCCTCTGTGCCCCCAAGAACTCTCTCTCCCCAACTTGGGTTGCCCCAACCCCCGGCTGGTCAAAGTTACCGGACAGTGCTGTGAGGAGTGGGTCTGCGACGACGACGACGGTGCCAAGGACCCTGTGGACGACAGGGAGGGCCTCCTGGGCAAGGAGCTGGCCTTCGATGCCTCGGAGGTGGAGTTAACCAGAAACAATGAATTAATTGCAGTTGGAAAAGGCGGCTTCCTGAAGCGGCTCCCCGGTAAGTTAAGACTGCGACCTTGCCCTGAACCCTATGCCTAGTCTGAAGCTTTAGAGAAATGAGAACTTGAATTTGTTTGTGTCCCTGTGTTTCTGAGAACTCTTGCCTCTTGTTTGTCTGTCTAGTTTTTGGAATGGAACCTCGCATTCTTTACAACCCTTCTTCACATGGCCAGAAATGTATCGTCCAAACAACTTCGTGGTCCCAGTGCTCAAAGACCTGTGGAACTGGTATCTCCACACGCGTTACCAATGACAACCCTGAATGCCGCCTGGTGAAAGAAACCCGGATCTGTGAAGTGCGGCCTTGTGGACAGCCGGCGTACAGCAGCCTCAAAGTGCGTGCCTGCGGTGCTGTGGTGTAGACTGGTCCCCTGGGTGTAGACTGGGTGAGAGGGGACCTTCTCTTCCAAGAAAGAGAAAACACTAACTTCCCTTCTCTTTTCTTACAGAAGGGCAAGAAATGCAGCAAGACCAAGAAATCCCCCGAACCGGTGCACTTTACTTACGCTGGATGTTCGAGTGTGAAGAAATACCGGCCCAAGTATTGCGGGTCCTGCGTGGACGGCCGCTGCTGCACGCCTCAGCAGACCAGGACTGTGAAGATGCGGTTCCGCTGCGAAGACGGCGAAATGTTTTCCAAGAACGTCATGATGATACAGTCCTGCAGATGCAACTACAACTGCCCGCATGCCAACGAGGCCGCCTTCCCCTTCTACAGGCTGTTCAATGACATTCACAAGTTTAGGGACTAAATGCCACTCGGGTTTCCAGCACAAGGGTGGACAAAATGGGGAGAGAAGAGTGTCAGAATCACAGAGGCATGGGTGGGGGCGGCGGGGTGAAGGGACTTACGGTAGGAGGGAGGCATTGCTCATTCTTGAGTAGTATTAAGGTATTTCGAAACTGCTAGGTGTGTTGGTGCACATGGACACTAACGCAGCTGCGATTGGAGAATACTTCGCTTCATAATATTGGAGCACACGTTACCGCTTCATTTTGGAGCTTGTGGTGTTGATGACGTTCTGTTTTCTGTTTGTAAATTATTTGGTAAGCGTATTTTTCTCTAGGCTTCTTTCCTTTCGGTTTTACAGTTGTAAAAGGTAATTAAGATTAGTTGGACAGTTGAAACCTTCATCCTTTGACAGAAGTAAATGGGAGGGGGGTCCCTTTCTGAAGGTGACACTCTGTGAGTGTCCGTGAGAGGCAGCTATCTGCACTCTAAATTGCAAACAGAAATCAGGTGTTTTAAGACTGAATGTTTTTATTTATCAAAATGTAGCTTTCGGGGAGGGAGGGGAAATGTAATACTGGAATAATTTGTAAATGATTTTAATTTTATATTCAGTGAAAAGAATTTATTTATGGAATTAATCATTTAATAAAGAAATATTTACCTAATATCTGAGTGTATGGCATTCAGTATTTTTAGAGGATGTTCAGAGCCATTGGGGACAATCTAGCTTATGCATTCAATCACTGAAACAAGATTTACTGAGTGAGCCAGGAACTGTTCTAGTGCTTGGGATAGAGCAGGGAACTAACTTACAAAAATCTCACAATGATTGCTTTTATAAATTCAGTAGAGAAAAACCTTGGCATTTAAAGTAATCTGTTTTAAAAACACAGATTGAACCCTAGCCCTTGCACAAGCACAAGAAGATTTGAATCTGAAATTTGTGATTTAAATAATAATGCTTTATTTTCATAAGAATTCAAAGTCTAAGGGCCAAGCTCCATCACCCAAGCTCTTTGAGGTGGGTAGAGTCATTTGTCATTTTAATCACTTTTTAACTGTGCATGTCCCTTTAGAGAGGAGAGAAACTTTAATGAAAAGAGTCCATAACTCAGGCTGCCCACATCTAAATCCATGGGCAAGATTTAAATATGGTTGGATGATGTGTTATCAGGTCACCTGTTCATATTTTTCTAGTATCCCAAAACCTGGGAGAATGACTCAAAAATTCACCCATGATTGGGATCAGAGAAAAAAATCTTACAATCTACGGAAGTCAGTTTGTTTTCATTGAATGAATTTGAAGCACTGACTTGTGTTAATCCTAATAAGCCGATGATTAGGTAAACATGCTGTTAAATGCAAAGGAATGCAAGGAATTTCAAGTACTTTTCCAATAGCGTGAGGAGCACTCTACCCCACCCCCTTTCCTTTTTATAATATACAATATATTGAGGCAGGAGGGAGCAGTTAGATAGAACTGGCTATCCAGAGGGTCAGAGGCTAGATGCAGTGCATTCCTAAAAGGACGTGAATTGTAGGTCTAGGAGAGGTTGAGAAGGCTGCATCAATGTTTGTGAAAATGCTGGTAGCTTTTTTTAGAAGACTCACATCTTGAGAAAACACTGACAATAAACGTTTTATAGAGAGGTTTCCCTTTCATCAAGCTTCTTGGCTCCTGTTCAAATCCATAGTGAAATATTTCGGTCTTCACTTAGTTAAGAGAGTACTTGAATCTTTAGGCAACAAGAGAAGGTGCTTTAAAAGGGGAACCGCTTCTGGGATCTTGTGACTTTTCAAAATAGTTTAATATTGATGCTCCATTAAGACCTACAGAAAAACACTGCCTGAGCACCTGTTTTAAAGCCTTACTGAAATTCATAATGTTTCAAGTAAATGTGATAGCAAAAATCTGTGGACAAAGGCCTTCACTCTTCTGACTCTTTTGACAATGTCTTGCCTTAAATATTATAAATTTTGCCTACTGAGTAGTCAGTTTTTCTTGCCTGAGGCATCCAAATTTTAAGGTATTTGGAAATTTAAACACCACCTGGCTCAGTCTTGGATGCAGTTAAACTTAGTGCAACAGAACATGTAAAACATAATAAAGTTGTGAGGATTTTTGGTGCAATATTGTTAAACAGACATCTGAACCTCTAGGCAAAATTTATGCATTCCCAGACACCAATCCTGGTATTGTCTTCCAATATTAGAGCCCAGCAAATTGCTTTTTACATGAAGATCAAGGAGCAACATTTTATAGACCCTTTAAGTATGTAGGGAGGTGATATTTGTCCTGTGCTGTGCTTAGTCGCTCAGTCGTGTCTGATTCTCCGCAACCCCATGGACTGTAGCCCTCCAGGCCCTGCTATCCATGGGGATTCCCTGGGCAAGAATACTAGCATGGGCTGCCATGCTCTTCTCCAGGGGGTCTTCCCAACCCAGGGATGGAACCCAGGTCTCCCGCATTGCAGGCAGGTTCTTTGCCATCTGAGCCGCCAGGCAAGCCCAGTATTTGTCCATTGAAGTTCAAATGTGAAACATATCTAGCATGGGAAAATACTAGATCTTTGATCATTAAACTTGTCATAAGAAATACACTAAATGATATACAAGTGCTGATTCAATGAGTACTTAATTTTAAAAAATGCCAATAGACACAAAATATTTGATTTGGCCATAGAAAAAGAGGGAGAGTGAAGCATTAAAAGTGATTGAGAATGAAATTATGCAATTTAGAACATACCAGCTTTATCTAGGTCTAAAATGGAATACTGCCTATGTCAAATATTGCGAAAACAAAATAAAAAACCATGCATTGCAAATGTGAAATAGAACATATATGTACCCTCTAAACATGGGTTTCCCTGGTAGCTCAGTCAGTAAAGAAACTGACTGCAGTTCAGGAGACCCAGGTTCAATCCTTGGGTCAGGAAGATCCTCTGGAGAAGAAATGGCAACCCACTCTAGTATTCTTACTGAAGAATTCCATGCACAGAGGAGCCTGGCAGGCTACAGACCATGAAGTCGACTAAACCACCACCACTCGTGGTAAAGATATATTGTAAACACTTTCCAATCTAAAAGATTCTGATGTTCTTGAGCTGCTTTCTTGTTTTGTTTTTGATAGAGATGTAAACCTTGAGAATCATAAAGTGATCCTAGAATCCTAGGAATTTAGTGAATCTTAAGAAATATTCTTTGGGACATTTAGCAGGCAAAAGGAGAAGAAGGTGGCAGAGGATGAGATGGTTAGATAGCATCACCGACTCAATGGACATAAATTTGAGCAAACTCCAGGAGACGGTGAGGGACAGAATGCCTGGCATGCTGCAATCAGTCCATAGGGTCACAAAGAGTTGGACATGACTTAGTGATTGAACAACAAAACAGCACAGTAAGTAGTCTCATGGTGATGATTCTCACAGAAGCACATGTGCTGTCCACTTCATAAAGAGATGCAACCGAATCAAAATTAGCAAAGTATATGTTAGTTATTTTACCAGTACAGTGATCAGATTTGATATGTTCACAACCTCTTCTCCTGCCTTCTGATACTATTTGAAAGTCACTTGAGCAATAGCAAGGGTCCAGTGGGACCACAGTACAGAATAAAGCTGTGTTTTGGGTAGAATGGCAGATGATATTGTAGAAAGAATCTCAGACTAGAAATTGGGAGACATGTATTTTACACTAGCTCTGCCATTAATTTACTGGGTAAGCCTGGGTGAGTTTCTGGATTCTTCTCTCCTGTTTTAAAATGGAACTTCCCTCATTTTTGTCACCGAAAAATTTTTTTCATATATTCTCTTTAATACATTGACTCCCATACCTTTAAAGCTTTGCCTCCTCAAGCAACTGAATGTATGAAGCAAAAACTTTTCACGTTTGTCTGTGGGCAAAAGCACTCATCTCCATGAAGTCTTTGAAAATATAAGGCCCTCTTTACTTTCTAAAGCCCTCCTGGATATAGGATGTGTCAGTCCCTGGACCTTGCAGGTTATAGGTCCATATTTTTCCTCTCCGTATATAGCCTCAATATCTGGAGCTTTTTAAATCCCTGCCCTGAAAAGCTTATTCTTTGAGACAAAGCACATTGTGATGCATGACAGTGATGCATGTGTACTAAGAATAGAACAGACTTACCTGAAACTTTATTGCTGGTGTGAAACATTTCTCCACGTAATCTAACAAGGTGCAATTCAATTAAACAAGTACTCAAGCGCATTTGTTAGTACTTTACAGTTCTCATTATTCCGCTCGTTTATTCTGAATCTACCTCTTAGTCTAGTGCAAACATCCAAATCTAAGACATCATCATCTCTTGCCTGAATTACCGGAACACCCCCTTCACTTGTGGCATGCAGTATTTTTCAAAGGTGGCTGCAACCATGTCTTCCAACCCAAATGCCCTTCAGCAGTGTAACCCTGTTGCTCTCCAAAATAGATGGGGTCTACTTCTCCACCCTCTTGGAGCTGGGTGGGCGCTTTAACCACCTTGACCAATGAATATCTAAGAAGTCATGCGATATGGTGCTAGTTCCAAATGGTGCACTGGCTAGGAGCTCCTATTTCCTTTCTCTTCAAAAATGAGCTTCCATAAAAGAATTATAAGTACCCTGAGACCAGAAGACTGAGAAGCCCATGCCACAGGGATAGGCTTGAGAGGATGAGATGCCATGTGGAGAGAGAGGAAGATCAGGGAGCCCTTGGGTACCACATGTGTATGAAGACATCATCCTGGAAATGGACTCTCCAACCCCAACTGCCTCACAAGCTGATGTCTTGTAAATCAGAGATGAGCTGCCTATTGAATCCTTCCCAGAATTCTTGACCCATAAAATAATGAACAAACCAATATGAAAAATCAATCAAACTTATTTAAAGCCCTAAGTTTTGAGTGTTGTTTGTTACATGGCGATAGTTAACTGAAACATAACTGGTTTCCAATCTTGACCACCAGTGATCCATTTTCCTTACAGGAGCTGGAGTAATTCTTTAAAAACGTAAATCAGAAAC